TGTTCAGTGTTAGAAGTGTTAATGACACTTGCCGCCGCCATTAGAAATACAGGGCTGGTGTATCATGTCTACTGTTCAGTGTTAGAAGTGTTAATGACACTTCCCGCCGCCATTAGAAACACAGGGCTGGTGTATCATGTCTACTGTGCAGTGTTAGAAGTGTTAATGACACTTCCCGCCGCCATTAGAAATACAGGGCTGGTGTATCATGTCTACTGTGCAGTGTTAGAAGTGTTAATGACGCTACCCGCCGCCATTAGAAACACAGGGCTGGTGTATCATGTCTACTGTACAGTGTTAGAAGTGTTAATGACGCTACCCGCCGCCATTAGAAACACAGGGCTGGTGTATGATGTCTACTGTACAGTGTTAGAAGTGTTAATGACGCTACCCGCCGCCATTAGAAACACAGGGCTGGTGTATCAATATCTACTGTACAGTGTTAGAAGTGTTAATGACGTTTTCTGTCGCCATTAGAAACACAGGGCTGGTGTATGATGTCTACTGTACAGTGTTAGAAGTGTTAATGACGTTTTCTGTCGCCATTATAAACACAGGACTGGTGTATAATGTCTACTGTACAGTGTTAGAAGTGTTAATTACACTTTCCGCCGCCATCAGAAACACAGGACTGGTGTATCATGTCTACTGTACAGTGTTAGAAGTGTAAATGACGTTTTCTGTCGCCATTAGAAACACGGGGCTGGTGTATCATGTCTACTGTACAGTGTTAGAAGTGGTAATGACGTTTTCTGTCGCCATTATAAACACAGGACTGGTGTATAATGTCTACTGTACAGTGTTAGAAGTGTTAATTACACTTTCCGCCGCCATCAGAAACACAGGACTGGTGTATCATGTCTACTGTACAGTGTTAGAAGTGTTAATGACGCTACCCGCCGACATTAGAAATACAGGGCTGGTGTATCATGTCTACTGTACTGTGTTAGAAGTGTTAATGACGCTACCCGCCGACATTAGAAATACAGGGCTGGTGTATCATGTCTACTGTACTGTGTTAGAAGTGTTAATGACACTTTCCGCCGCCATTAGAAACACAGGGCTGGTGTATCATGTCTACTGTACAGTGTTAGAAGTGTTAATGACACTTCCCGCCACCATTAGAAACACAGGGCTGGTGTATCATGTCTACTGTACAGTGTTAGAAGTGTTAATGACACTTGCCGCCACCATTAGAAACACAGGGCTGGTGTATCATGTCTACTGTGCAGTGTTAGAAGTGTTAATGACACTTGCCGCCACCATTAGAAACACAGGGCTGGTGTATCATGTCTACTGTGCAGTGTTAGAAGTGTTAATGACACTTGCCGCCACCATTAGAAACACAGGGCTGGTGTATCATGTCTACTGTACAGTGTTAGAAGTGTTAATGACACTTCCCGCCGCAATTAGAAACACAGGGCCGGTGTATCATGTCTACTGTACAGTGTTAGAAGTGTTAATGACACTTGCCGCCGACATTAGAAACACAGGGCCGGTGTATCATGTCTACTGTACTGTGTTAGAAGTGTTAATGACACTTGCCGCCGACATTAGAAACACAGGGCCGGTGTGTCATGTCTACTGTGCAGTGTTAGAAGTGTAAATGACGCTACCCGCCGACATTAGAAATACAGGGCTGGTGTATCATGTCTACTGTTCAGTGTTAGAAGTGTTAATGACACTTGCCGCCGACATTAGAAACACAGGGCCGGTGTGTCATGTCTACTGTGCAGTGTTAGAAGTGTAAATGACGCTACCCGCCGACATTAGAAATACAGGGCTGGTGTATCATGTCTACTGTTCAGTGTTAGAAGTGTTAATGACACTTGCCGCCGCCATTAGAAATACAGGGCTGGTGTATCATGTCTACTGTTCAGTGTTAGAAGTGTTAATGACACTTCCCGCCGCCATTAGAAACACAGGGCTGGTGTATCATGTCTACTGTGCAGTGTTAGAAGTGTTAATGACACTTCCCGCCGCCATTAGAAATACAGGGCTGGTGTATCATGTCTACTGTGCAGTGTTAGAAGTGTTAATGACGCTACCCGCCGCCATTAGAAACACAGGGCTGGTGTATGATGTCTACTGTACAGTGTTAGAAGTGTTAATGACGCTACCCGCCGCCATTAGAAACACAGGGCTGGTGTATGATGTCTACTGTACAGTGTTAGAAGTGTTAATGACGCTACCCGCCGCCATTAGAAACACAGGGCTGGTGTATCAATATCTACTGTACAGTGTTAGAAGTGTTAATGACGTTTTCTGTCGCCATTAGAAACACAGGGCTGGTGTATGATGTCTACTGTACAGTGTTAGAAGTGTTAATGACGTTTTCTGTCGCCATTATAAACACAGGACTGGTGTATAATGTCTACTGTACAGTGTTAGAAGTGTTAATTACACTTTCCGCCGCCATCAGAAACACAGGACTGGTGTATCATGTCTACTGTACAGTGTTAGAAGTGTAAATGACGTTTTCTGTCGCCATTAGAAACACGGGGCTGGTGTATCATGTCTACTGTACAGTGTTAGAAGTGGTAATGACGTTTTCTGTCGCCATTATAAACACAGGACTGGTGTATAATGTCTACTGTACAGTGTTAGAAGTGTTAATTACACTTTCCGCCGCCATCAGAAACACAGGACTGGTGTATCATGTCTACTGTACAGTGTTAGAATTGTAAATGACGTTTTCTGTCGCCATTAGAAACACGGGGCTGGTGTATCATGTCTGCTGTACAGTGTTAGAAGTGTAAATGACGTTTTCTGTCGCCATTAGAAACACGGGGCTGGTGTATCATGTCTACTGTACAGTAGACATGATACACCAGTCCTGTGTTTCTAATGGCGGCGGAAAGTGTCATTAAAACTTCTAACACTGTACAGTAGACATGATACACCAGCCGTGTGTTTCTAATGTCGGCGGGTAGCGTCATTGACACTTCTAATACTGTACAGTAGACATGATACACCATCCCTGTGTTTCTAATGGCGGCGGGTAGCGTCATTGACACTTCTTACACTGTACAGTGGACATGATACACCAGCCGTGTGTTTCTAATGGCGGCGGGTAGCGTCATTGACACTTCCAACACTGTACAGTAGTGTTCCCTAACTGCTTTTGAGTAGTATAGTTAGCCTAGTAGAACGCTCCTGTATATTTTCACCCCGTGTAAATGTCGTATTACTAAAAACTTATTTAAGAGACGCGCACCTTTTCTAGTTTTTATCTGAGTCATGCGCTCTTTTCTATATTGTAATGAATATTGGTGGGAGTATTCCTACCGACGTTAACCTATGTACCTGGGTATTGGGTGTCCCGTCTTTTGATATTATGATCAGAAGGACGATCAGCTTTGCAAACAAGACTGCCAGAGACCAAACCCTAACGCATCAACACACACGAAACCTTGCACACAAACCTTCCTCCGTGCACGTGAGCTGGTAAGCTCTCTACGCTTGCTGCACTGCAATATTTATGATTAGAGTAGGAATGCGTCGTCTGCAATGTTATGAGGTGAGGTGAAATTGGGTTTAACGCCGCGTCCAAGATTATTGCACTTACATAGCGACGTGTGTGTGTGTGCGTGCGTGCGTGCGTGCGTGCGTGTGTGCGTGCGTGTGTCTGCTTGTAATAGTCCGGACTGATGCCGATTTATAGTGCTAGCTCACTGAGATACCATGAATACCCCACTCAGACACAGTATACTGACTGAGCCGACCAGTCCTTGTTTTAACTCCTTAATGCCGAGCACCAGACAGGAAAACAACAAGTACCATCTTTTAACGTCTTTTAGTATGACGCGGCCGGGGATCGAGCCCCGGACCTTCCGCTCTCCGGGCGGACGTTCTACCACTAGACCACGGAGGCGGTCTACAATGTAATGAACGCCTAAGAGTTATTGTCATTCCGGAAACTGGCGGAAGTCAGTGGTGGGTAGACAATATGTTCAATATGTTCTGCAGAAAAGTTAAGGATCGATCCCGCACAGGCCGCCCTAGGTCAAGATCAAAAGTTCATCGGGCTGGAAACTAGACTTTAATAAATTGACTTGTGGACGATCATGCCTCGGGAAGATGATGCTATCTGAACGTGCTACCTTTGTTTGCAACATTGACGCGATGACATCTTTCCAACGAATGAATAATGACTTTCTTTCGCATGAAACAGTATGACAACATATATGTGCGCGGGCGCGCGGGCGTGCGTGTGTGTGTGTGTGTGTGTGTTAATACGAAGTTATAAACAATATGTAAGATATAATATTTGTTTTAGTACAGCATGTAAAGTGTAAACATTAGTTCAGTGTAGGTTATAATTGTGTGATTTGAGTGTATGATTGTAGTTAAAGTCATTAGTGTAAGCACAGTAATGATTATACCTCCATGATCATGTTTGTTTGTAATTAAAAGTATATCACAGCACAGGTAATGCTAGTATGGCTCAGATAAGGGCATATTTATGTAGGTTTATCTATGCTATTCCATTTGAGATTATGTTTAGAATAAAATGATATGGCAGTATTACTGTGTACATAATTGTATGATATGTATACTAAACTATGTAAGTGGCGTGTATTTGATCACTTACAGCAGGATCTGCAGTGACAAGCAGTAACAGTAGATTATGCCTTCTATCACCTGAGTGCCACACATTCGGTAGGCATATTAAACATTCTAGTCCCAGTATAAGCTACATGCCTGTATTTGTGAACTGCATGTTTATATGTATACTATACATCTTGTACATATGAGTGCATTGGTGCAGTTTCAGTAATATGTAGCGCAGAGATGAGTATTATGAATCATGTGATATCTGTCATAACTTTATGTGATGTATGTATGTATGTATATATATATATATATATATATATATATATATATATATATTGTTTGAAATTGAAGACATACACTAATGCTTTTTTCAAAGGAAATAAGATATTTCATGCATTTTTCGCGTGGAATGTTTAGAGAGAAATCTCTGCTAAAAGTCTCACCTCCCTTCCTGTATGACTGTTCATCATGGGTGTGCGCTTCTATCTCTTCTCTCTTCACACAGCTTGTATTCAGTGTCACCATGTCCTCTGTAAGACCAGTGATTACTTGATTTGAATCATGTAGGTCATCAATGGTCTGATTTTGTTGAATGTTTAAACTCTGAATGTCAGTTTTTAACTTTTGCTGCATTTCCTGCAATCCCTTCCTGTATGACTGTTCATCATGGGTGTGCGCTTCTATCTCTTCTCTCTTCACACAGCTTGTATTCAGTGTCACCATGTCCTCTGTAAGACCAGTGATTACTTGATTTGAATCATGTAGGTCATCAATGGTCTGATTTTGTTGAATGTTTAAACTCTGAATGTCAGTTTTTAACTTTTGCTGCATTTCCTGCAATCCCTTCCTGTATGACTGTTCATCATGGGTGTGCGCTTCTATCTCTTCTCTCTTCACACAGCTTGTATTCAGTGTCACCATGTCCTCTGTAAGACCAGTGATTACTTGATTTGAATCATGTAGGTCATCAATGGTCTGATTCTGTTGAATGTTTAAACTCTGAATGTCAGTTTTTAACTTTTGCTGCATTTCCTGCAATCCCTTCCTGTATGACTGTTCATCATGGGTGTGCGCTTCTATCTCTTCTCTCTTCACACAGCTTGTATTCAGTGTCACCATGTCCTCTGTAAGACCAGTGATTACTTGATTTGAATCATGTAGGTCATCAATGGTCTGATTCTGTTGAATGTTTAAACTCTGAATGTCAGTTTTTAACTTTTGCTGCATTTCCTGCAATCCCTTCCTGTATGACTGTTCATCATGGGTGTGCGCTTCTATCTCTTCTCTCTTCACACAGCTTGTATTCAGTGTCACCATGTCCTCTGTAAGACCAGTGATTACTTGATTTGAATCATGTAGGTCATCAATGGTCTGATTTTGTTGAATGTTTAAACTCTGAATGTCAGTTTTTAACTTTTGCTGCATTTCCTGCAATCCCTTCCTGTATGACTGTTCATCATGGGTGTGCGCTTCTATCTCTTCTCTCTTCACACAGCTTGTATTCAGTGTCACCATGTCCTCTGTAAGACCAGTGATTACTTGATTTGAATCATGTAGGTCATCAATGGTCTGATTTTGTTGAATGTTTAAACTCTGAATGTCAGTTTTTAACTTTTGCTGCATTTCCTGCAATCCCTTCCTGTATGACTGTTCATCATTGGAGCGCGCTTCTATCTCTTCTCTCTTCACACAGCTTGTATTTAGTGTAATTAAATCTTCCTGAAGAACACTGTTCACCATGTTTGCATCACGAAGACCAGCTTTCGTCTCATTCAGCTGCAGCTGTAAACTGTGGATGTCTGTGTTCACCTCGCTACGAAGCTTAAAAATACTTTCTTTGTAACTGTCTCTTTCCCTTTCTACACGTCTGAACTGTTGTGTTACTGTCCGAAGTTGTGTTTTTGTGTAATGAACACTGACTCTCAGTCTGTTCGCTTGCTCCACTAGAGGCTTTATCAGGGCAGGAACGAACGTGTCAGTCAGTTGATTTTTCAGTGATGACTCCCACCTCTTAAAGTGCTGTTTCATATCAGTCTTAATATTAACAACTCTTCCTTTCCATGCTTGGATAGTTGCGCTCAGGACTCTCACTTGTCCAGTCAAGTCGGTCAAATTGGTATCAGCATGTGCGTCTCTGACACCACACAAGAACACAATACTGATGAATACAACTCTTGGTAGTTCCATCATGCAGAGATATTTGCAGCTCGTCGCAGTTACGAGAAGACTGACTTGGTGCTGGATCAACATGGAGCTTAGTCCGAAGTGTTTGACAAAAAGCCAACTCAGGAATGCTCTGACAGAAAATTCCTTTGCGTACATGTGGCACCACAGACACAAATAAGGCAGGTACCTTCATCAAGGTATTGTGTTACATACCAAGTATGTTGCCACAATAGCCTCGTGTTGAGAGTATTATTACTATTGAAGTAACTTGAAAAATATTAGATTTCTTGTGTACTTTAACTAATCTCGATCCAACCCCTTAACATTGATAATGTGCGTAAATTACTTCTCTTTGTCTCACGCTGCGGGTCTTACTTATTACCCATCCCCGACACCACGGTCTATATGTCCAATGTACAACATATACCTTTGATCACCCGTAGCAGACACCCAGGTCTCTATGCCACATGCAGTCTCACATATACCTTACTCCTCCAATCCCCCACCCCCAAAAATCCCCCTCCCTCTTTCACCATGGCTAACAATCATTCTGTTTCTAAACGAAGACATTTGGATACGAGTTCGTTTGATAAGGCTAATACATATGTTGATTCCTTGTGATCGAAGTTACAGATCATGAACCAATCAAATTGGTATATCCAGATCTGTTCATGGCCATTGTGGGGAGGTTAAAATGTGACACGTTTGCGCAGTGGAGCTCTTCAGGTGAAATGTGCCGGGACAAAAATCAAGTTTAGTCTGTCAAACGTTTTACCAGAAAGGATAATAAATCAACTACTGTTCAAACGAACACATATTTATTCACTTGCCCGTTGACCTGCTCCCAATTCAATTAAAGCTGGTTATGTCAACATCGGAGTGAAGATGTATGTCCCCAATACACTCCGATGATTTAAATGTAAAAAAAAGTGGACATGGTTCGAAAACCTGCACACATCCCCTGGTTTGTCATCGTTATGGTGACAACAATGGAGTGCAGATTGTCCTCAAGATTTGAAATGTTCAAACTGCGATGGGCAACACATGGCCACTTCCAAGTTCTGCCCTGTTTATCAAACAGAAATAATAATTCTTAAACTAAACAAGAACGAAACATCAGCTTTGCCGTCGCCAGGCAGCTTACTTTTACTGTAAATTCTTCTGCTGCTGTAGCCAAATCTGCCACAACCTCTTTATCTGTTCTGTGTCGGACTGAGTTGACATGGGTCAAGTCTGATCAACCTGTCGTAGCTTCGTCTGTCACGCTGACAATCAATCCGAATCGACATAGTCTTCCTTTCAGGCTGATACTGAGACAATTCATGTCGAACCAGCAAATGAGTGAGTTTAAAAAAACTAGATTCTATTCATCAACAGAGACTGAGGTTTTGCCTTTGAGCCTTTAGATCTTCTCTGAGACAAAGCCTGTATGTGGATGCTGGTTGTGTTTTGAATCCTCTATATACAGAATGCTGTAATAAAAAGGTAATCTCTTACTCTACTCATCAATACTCTGCTGCTGTCACATTTAGTCGCCCCATGTTGGAGGTATAGAGAATAAGAAACTATATCTGTGCTGTAAGGAGCATGGCATTGTAGCGCCACACTAACACATCTGTTAGACGAGACATACATGCATAATCGACGTAAGTAATCTGCATGTCAGCTTGACTCGCTCGAATTTTGGGAAACTAAGATTTAGGTAATTGCATATTAGTTATTTGTGGAAACATTAATGGGCATCAGAGGTTTCAGGAAAGTATGGATTTCGGCCAAATGACTTCACATTAAATTTAGCCAATGTCAGATTGACCTGTACGAAACTCGGTAGAGGATGTTGGCAATTTTCCTTTGACTTGCGCAACCCCTAACTACTGCAGTTCCAGACACATTTGACATCAACAACAACAACACTCGCTCACTTACTCCTGCCTAAGCCCCTAACTACTGTAGCATGAGGCACATTTAACATAAACTCCAACACTCACTCACTTACTCCTGGCTAAACCCCTAAATACGGCAGTTCGAGACACATTTGACATCAACAACAACGCAAACTCACGTACTCCTTGCTCAACCCCTAACTACTGCAGTTCGAGACACATTTGACATCAACAACAACACTCACTCACTTACTCCTGGCTAAACCCCCCACCTACTGCAGTTCGAGACACATTTGACATCAACAACAACTCAAACTCACTTACTCCTGGCTAAACACGTAACTACTGCAGTTCGAGACACATTTGACATCAACACCAACACTCACTTACTCCTGGCTAAACCCCTAACTACTGCAGTTCCAGACACATTTGACATCAACAACAACACTAACTCACTTACTCCTGGCTAAGCCCCTGACTACTGTAGCATGAGGCACATTTGACATCAACAACAACACTAACTCACTTACTCCTAGCTAAACCCCTAACTACTGCAGTTCGAGACACATTTGACATCAACAACAACAACACTCACTTACTCCTGGCTAAACCCCTAGCTACTGCAGTTCCAGACACATTTGACATCAACAACACACTCACTTACTCCTGGCTAAACCCCCAACTACTGCAGTTCGAGACACAACTGACATCAACAACAACACTCACTTACTCCTGGCTAAACCCCTAGCTACTGCAGTTCCAGACACATTTGACATCAACAACACACTCACTTACTCCTGGCTCAACCCCCAACTACTGCAGTTCGAGACACAACTGACATCAACAACAACACTCACTCACTCCTGGCTAAACCCCCATAACTGCAGTTCCAGACACATTTGACATCAACAACAACTCAAACTCACTTACTCCTGGCTCAACCCCCCACCTACTGCAGTTCAAAACACATTTGACATCAACAACAACACTCTCTCACTTACTCCTGGCTCAACCCCCCACCTACTGCAGTTCGAGACACATTAAACATCAACAACAACACTAACTCACTTACTCCTAGCTAAGCCCCTGACTACTGTAGCATGAGGCACATATGACATCAACAACAACACTCACTCACTTACTCCTGGCTGAACCCCCGTAACTGCAGTTCCAGACACATTTGACATCAACAACAACTCAAACTCACTTACACCTGGCTCAACCCCCAACTACTGCAGTTCAAAACACATTTGACATCAACAACAACACTCTCTCACTTACTCCTGGCTCAACCCCCCACCTACTGCAGTTCGAGACACATTTAACATCAACAACAACTCAAATTCACTTACTCCTGGCTAAACCCCTAACTACTGCAGGTAGAGACACATTTGACATCAACAACAACACACTCACTTACTCCTGGCTAAACCACTAACTACTGCAGTTCGAGACACATTTAACATCAACAACAACTCAAGCTCACTTACTCCTGGCTAAACCCCTAACTACTGCAGTTCGAGACACATTTGACATCAGCAACAACACTCACTCACTTACTGCTGGCTCAACCCCCAACTACTGCAGTTCGAGACACAACTGACATCAACAACAACACTCACTTACTCCTGACTAAGCCCCCAACTACTGCAGTTCGAGACACATTTGACATCAAGAACAACACTCACTTACACCTGGCTAAACCCCGAATTACTGCAGTTCGAGACACATTTCACATCAACAACAACACTCACTTACACCTGGCTAAACCCCTAATTACTGCAGTTCGAGACACATTTGACATCAACAACAACACTCACTCACTTACTCCTGGCTAAACCCCCACCTACTGCAGTTCGAGACACATTTCACATCAACAACAACACTCACTCACTTACACCTGGCAAAACCCCCAACTACTGCAGTTCGAGACACATTTGACATCAACAACAACACTCACTTACACCTGGCTAAACCCCTAACTACTGCAGTTCGAGACACATTTGACATTAACAACAACAACACTCACTTACTCCTGGCTAAACCCTTAACTGCTGCAGTTCGAGACACATTTCACATAAACAACAACACTCATTTACTCCCAGCTAAACCCATAACTACTGCAGTTCGAGACACATTTGACATCAACAACAACACTCACTCACTTACTCCTGGCTCAACCCCCACCTACTGCAGTTCGAGACACATTTCACATCAACAACAACACTCACTCACTTACACCTGGCAAAACCCCCACCTACTGCAGTTCGAGACACATTTAACATCAACAACAACACACTCTTTCTCCTTGCTAAACCCCCACCTACTGCAGTTCGAGACACATTTGACATTAACAACAACAACACTCACTTACTCCTGGCTAAACCCCTAACTGCTGCAGTTCGAGACACATTTGACATCAACAACAACACTCACTCACTCCTGGCTCAACCCCCGACTACTGCAGTTCCAGACACATTTGACATCAACAACAACACTCACTTACTCCTGGCTAAACCCCTAACTACTGCAGTTCCAGACACATTTGACATCAACAACAACACTCACTTACTCCTGGCTAAACCCCTAACTACTGCAGTTCCAGACACATTTGACATCAACAACAACACTCTTTTACTCCTGGCTAAACCCCTAACTACTGCAGTTCGAGACACATTTGACATCAACAATAACACTCACTCACTTACTCCTGGCTCATCCCCCAACTACTGCAGTTCCAGACACATTTGACATCAACAACAACACTCACTTACTCCTGGCTAAACCCCTAACTACTGCAGTTCCAGACACATTTGACATCAACAACAACACTCACTTACTCCTGGCTCAACCCTTAACTACTGCAGTTCCAGACACATTTGACATCAACTACAACACTCACTTACTCCTGGCTCAACCCCCAACTACTGCAGTTCGAGACACATTTGACATCAACAACAACACTCACTTACTCCTGGCTAAACCCCTAACTACTGCAGTTCCAGACACATTTGACATCAACAACAACACTCACTTACTCCTGGCTAAACCCCCATAACTGCAGTTTCTAGACACATTTGACATCAACTGCAACACTCACTTACTCCTGGCTAAACCCCTAGCTACTGTAGCAAGAGTCACATGTGACATCAACAACAACATTCACTCACTTACTCCTGGCTAAACCCCTAACTA